CAGGAATCAGCAAAGGACCCATCACTCTCCCCAGCCACTCCAGGTGGCTTTACCAAGGCAGTATAACAAATGCCACTCCTGCTACCTTTGAATCATAGAATTACAGAATCAACCAGGCTGGAAAAGACCTTTAAGTTCCTCCAGTCCAATCATTGCCCAGCACTGCCAAGGCCACCACTGACCCATGTCACTGTGGGCCTCGTCTACACGGTGTGTGAACATGGAGTTTTCCTCCTTCAGGCTCTGAAAAGGGGTTCAACATGGAGAGCATGACTGATAGTGTTCTGAGTTTCCTGCTTGGCAGCTGAGCAGCAGGCACTGGGCTGCATGCTTTTAGCCTGATGTAGGCATGAATTGAAATGTGTTGGAGGAGATGGGTTGATAACAATTTCCTCCTCTGTGTGGAAGGAAAGACCAGACCAACATCTTCTGATCTTTCTCCACGGATGCATCATTTGCTTTAACTGAAGTGAACTTAAAAGCCAGATAATTCTCCATGACATGAATAATTAAACCATGAGATTCATTATCACAGGCCAAACCCGAGGCCATGAATACAGCAGCATTTATAAGAACAGTAGAACTATACAAAGCTCCAATAAAGCACAGCTAAAGTTTTGAAAGGCATAGTAAACCTTGCGATGCCAAACTTGGCCACATTAAAGGTTGCCAGTCACCAGGGATAAGTTCTCCCCATAAGTATTTGTTTCACATCACACTTTGATATCAAGGCTGGAGTTTGCGAACTCCCTTGTTGCCAATTGTAACCCAGTAAATGGGCCAGGCCATTGATGCAAATCAGGATTGCATTTTCACGTCCATAAAATTCCAGTGAAATCAAAGAAAATTGTTGCTGCTTTCTAGTTAAGATGTTTTATACCACAAATAACCAGTGTTCATTCAAGAGCTGAAAAAAATCATATTCATAGGTGTATGTGCATCACAGATCTAAGTGTTCAAGACAGTGTGTGACTTAAAGGAGCCATTATTAGTAATAATATTTGCATTTTTATAACACTTCCCATTTTGGCTGTTTAAATGCCACATGAACATCAGCGACTAAAGCCTCCCAGAAATCCTGTGAGGCAGGACATCATTGCCTTCTACTTTACAAGCAGAGAATCAAAGAATCACAGAATCATGGAATCAGCCACGTTGGAAAAGACCTCTAAGCTCCTCCAGTCCAACCGTTGCCCAGCACTGCCAAGGCCACCACTGACCCATGTCACTGAGGGCCTCGTCTACACGGGGTGTGAACACTTGCAGGGACGGTGACTCCAGCACTGCCCTGGGCAGCCTGTTCCAATGCCTGAGCACCCTCTGGGGAAGGAATTGTTCCTCAGCTCCATCTAAACCTCCCCTGGTGCAGCTTGAGGCTGTTTCCTCTTGTCCTATCACTTGTTCCTTGGGAGCAGAGACCGACCCCACCTCACTGCAACCTCCTGTCAGGCAGTTGTAGAGAGCGATCAGGTCCCCCCTGAGCCTTCTCTCTCCAGACTAACCCCCCAGGTCCCTCAGCCGTTCCTCATCACACTTGTGCTCCAGGCCCTGCACCAGCTCCATTGCCCTTCTCTGGCCCCGCTCCAGCACCTCAATGTCTCTCTTGCAGTGAGGGACCCAGAGCTGAACACAGGATTCGAGGTGCAAGAGGAGGCAATGTCTAAGTGCTTGCAGCATTTCAAGCCCTCTCATTTCCAATGGACTCAAAAAAAGGTGTTTCCTAAACTGCTGCACCATGCACTATAGCACGTGTCAGCAAAATGCTGCGTGCTTGCCTCCCGCTGTTGATTATTAGAGTTAAATCAAACCAAAAAGCCACTAGATGGGAGTCTTCCATCCCTTCTGCTGAAGCCTGGGAAAGGGCTTTCGCAGCTTGTGCAGAGCAGAGAGAATTTTCCAGAATACCTGGTTTCTGCATAGAAACTCCCATGTCCTATTTACCCTTCAAGTTCACTGTTGGACATAAAGAATACTCACATGATTTCCAGGAGGATTGAAAGGCTAATGCCTACTGGGTCCCTCCACAACCCTCATCCATGAGGTCTTCCAAACATTAGGCTTTTTTATGCTGTTTTTACAGTTCAGGTTTGTGTGCAGCTTTGAAAAGCCCTGGTCTTCCTCACTGAGTATTCGGCATTAGCTGCCGGACTATGGCAGGGGAGTCAGGTATTGACCAAATCCTCAGGGGGATGGTACCAAGGTTCTACTGTGGAGCAGGTAAGAAGTCACCTCAAGTACCTCAATAAGCCCACAAGATTTCTGCTGAAAAGCTCTTTTAAAAAGCACTTTGTCTCTGTACAGAGGCAGAAATCCAGGCAGCGGCAAATCACCAGCTATTCCCTGCTTCCGCTTTCATTGCAGCCCAAAAGCCATTTTCCACTGGATTCAGCCTCTAAATGTGGCCATTAACATACCTCTGAGTGGCACCGTGCAGCTCACATGAGTTATTGTTACTTTTGCTCATGGGATGTTCCAAATTCCCTCAAAGACATTCATTTTCATCAGACTTTAGGTCAGATATTTGGCTCACTGATGGAGGCAAATGGGTTTGTTTTGACAGGGCAGGGCAAATCACAAGGCAGCTCCTTGATTTGAGTCAGGAAAAAGAAATCAAAGGTCCTGTGACAATCCAAACCTGTGTGAGTTGGCAGGAATACAAAATACCTTCTGTAGGAAAAAGGAAAAGGAAAAGAAGGAAGAAAGCAGTACAACCAAACATTCAGAGTTTGGGTCAAAGAACTGCCTCTAGCTCCGTGCTGCTGCCGTGTAAAAACTAAATGTATTTCCTCCATCTTTCAGGAGAAACTTAGGTCTCCTGGTGCATTGGGACCCAAGGATGGCAAAGCAGCACGTCCCCAGTGCTGCAGAAGGGACAACCCGGGTGTTGGGGGCCAGTGCTGGCAAAGTGGGGCTGCAAAAAAGCAGGGAGAAGGAAATAAGGGGTTGAACAATGTGCCAGCAAGCACATAAAAGTCTCCTGTACCAGTGTGCTGCCCAGCAGGGCTGGCTGGTGTCCCATGAGATACCATCTTCTTCCCATACCTGTGGCTTTTGTAACATATCTGGCTCCTGCTCTCCCTCATTCTCCCATGCTGAAACCGGGGCATTTCTGCCCAGTGGCCGTGTTCTCAGGACCTCTCTCCTCTGTCTAGGTGCTATTTGCCTGCAGTGTGTTGGAACTGCATGTCTCTGATGGCCTATCCCTCTATCCTGTGGGTTGGAATTGGCCAAGAAACCCAACAGTTAGTGAGGAAAAATTGGCTGCCTGTGCAATGGCATGAGATCTGGTTCCTTTGGAAGCCAAGCACCGAGCTGGAGCTGGCAGGAATGGAGCTCCAGCCCCAGGCCCTCAGCCACAACCACCTTCCCTTTCTGTTCCCAACAGTAAGCAAGAAGTAAGCAAACCACTTCTTTTAGCTCTTGTGCCTCCTCAGATTTAGAAGATGTAGAGTGCTTTTAATGTCATGATCCATTATGAGCTTCTCAATGTGGGGAATAGGTCATTCCTCCAGATCTCTCCTTGTCAGATGCTTTCACAGATTTCATATTTGCTTGTCCCAGCATCTGTAAGACATTTGGAGCAGTAAGCCACTTTTTGTGAGGATGAATAATCATTACCACATAGAAATGCTTCAGCCTTGCATGTTCACCTTCACCCCATCATGGAGCAACAGGCTGAAGAGCAGGTAGGACCATACTAAGGCAATGATCCCACTTGTGGTACTTCAGATAACTTGTCTGGACGCAGCCTTGATTTCTCCACATGGCATGGCCTGTTTCACCTCAGGGCAGCAAAATGCTTCAGGGGCTTTGCAATCTCATTTAGTGGCAGACTTAATTATCTAAAGAAAGATTTCTGCTTCAAGAACTCTCCCTTTTAATCCCGCTTAAAAAGCTGCTTTTATTCATGTGGTAGCTTAGTTTCAACTGCAAATCTCCATGGGTATGTCCTGGAAAAGAACAAAGAGATGTTCGGTTTAGCTCCTCCAGAGCGACATGATGGGCCATGAGAAGGCTGGAGTCCCCAGATAGCTATTTGCAGAGGTGAACGCTCTGGTACTAAATTCCACGTGGTTTGGGTCACTTCCATAGCTCAGTGCATGTGGGACTCCAGGGCAGGCAGGGGTCTTTTTAACCTTTTTATCATTTCATATATTATTTTATATATATGTGATTCAAGAAGAATCACAGCAAGCTGCTAAGTCACAAACCTTTCAGCTTTGCTTACCCCTCAAGCATCTCCCGGGCATTAAAGATCCACCCCAGAACCATAGCAATGATACCACAGTCTTATTTGCTCAATCTGTTCAAAGCATTTCCCATTCAGTGTAATAATCTCTGAAGACTGCCTGCTTCTCAGGTCTCATACGTATCGCAAGAGCTTACAGGATCCCATCAGAGAAGGAAAACAACGCTCTGGGAGCTGAGGACGGCTCGCAGGCAGCATAAGCAACAAGTATTCCTTGGCTCACTGAAGAGGATGACCCTGCAGATGCCTGCTGATATGGGAAGTAGAATAGGAACTGCATAAGTGCTGCTTAAACTGTATCGTGGAAATATAAGTGGGACTTAAATGATGACCGTACCTCGCGCACAGTAATGAATTTTGCCCCTTGTGACTATCCGATGATCAGAATAAATGTGTTTCCACAAGAAGATGAGTGCTTGGGACGAATGAATTTGGTGACAAATTACAGTCTATTTGCAGAGAATTTGTGAATTTATAGGTACAAATGTAATTGATTACGTTGTCTGGGATGAGTCACTCGAACAGCCCTAGGCTAGAGGATTATTTTCAGACTCCAAGCTATACATCTGCTAAAGACACATGTACAGTGCACGTAGCTAATGTGCTGAAGCTCTTCATTGCTTGAGCTCTGTTGTCTCTTTCTTCTAGGTGGGCGAAGCAGTCCTCGAAAATGCTCGTCTCATGCTGCACACTGAGAACATTCAAGCCTGTGCTGAAGATTTTAAAGACAGGTAAAATTGTGGTGGCACCAAGCTGGCCACTTTCTTCGAACCTTTACCTTGGCAAACCCCTCCTCTATGACAGAGTAATGCTTACTGAGTAGAACTGGCTCATTCTTTTGACTGTTCATAGAATCACAGACTGGTTTGGGTTGGAAAGGACCTTAAGATCATCCGGTTGCAAGCCCCTGCCACAGGCAGGGATGTCTCACACTAGACCATGCTGCCCAAGGCTCTATCCAGCCTGGCCTTGAACACTGCCAGGGATGGAGCATTCAACCACCTGGCTTGGCGTTGTAACAGCAAAATAATTCTGATGCTAACATTATTTGGGAATATTTTGAATATTTAAAGTAAATCTAAAGTAAATTTAAAGTGCACATAAATGTGCACAAGCAAAATTACGCGAGCTATTCTTTGACATACAGACTTTGGTCTCTTACTAACTGTCATTTGGGTTAACATTTAATAAACGCAAAATTTCCCTGTGCTTTTTAGTTGTAATTTTCAGTCCCACATAAATGGGTTTGGAAACCACAATCATTCTGCTGCAGCAGCTGAAATGCAAGAACCACACCACTACACATGTCTGCATGGAAATGTTAGATAAGAAAACAGAAATGGGCTGCATTGGTTTTCCTCATCTTTACTGAGAGAAAGAAATAGCAGAAGAAGATCTTAAATACTGGCAAACTACTTCTTTTAATGTCCGTCTGTTCTCAAAACCTGATATTCATGTACATGAGTGCATGAAGCTCTTCAAATTTGACTCAGGAGACGTGATCTTTCCAGCTGTTCCCCATAATGGACTTGTTCATTTACAAATAGATTTTTGCAAGATCTGGCACACAAATTGTGTTTCAGACTAACTGGGTTTTAGTTCCTATGGTTTTTATCATCCCTTTTAAACTTCTGTCTCTCTCTGGTATTATTTTATTTAATCATCTCAAAAAGTGTGTTAATCATGTTCTGAGGTTTGCCTTTCATTTTAGAAAGGTACCACTCTGCGATACTCATTTGACGGCCTTATGTCCTACACTTACAGTGTAAGCACACAGTCTCCATCACAAAACCCATGTCACATCAATCCACTGCATAGGAGAAGGTCCTAATTCTCACTGGAATCAGCTACCACTTTCCCAGGCTGTTGAACTACCAGCAACAAAGGTGGCTCTCAAGTGGCAGAGTGTGGGGCCAGTTTATGAAGCTGTCTCCCATCTCAGCTGCCACCTTCCCTGTCTAACCTCCCTGGCCACTAGGTGCCCAGGTTAGATGGGTTTGACACAAAAGCCTCCCACCCAGGGAGATCAACCACATCTTCAATGGAAAGCCTGAAATGAAAGGGCAGAAACAAGAGTGATACAGCAAGCAGCACTGTAGAATAGCAACCTGCTAAAGTATGCCTGCCACAACCTTTTCCTACCACTGCAGCCATGGTTTAGAAACGAGTCATTTGCTTTAACAGCAATTCTAGTTGACAAACCAACCACTCGAATTTCCTCATTCTTTTGATACTACTACATTTTAAGGATGGGCTGGGGCCCTGGAACATAGACCAGACTTCCATCAGTATCTGTGTTAGTAACAGTAATGCATTTGACATGCATGTGTTTTCTTTAACCATAGCTCTCACAAGTTTTCATGTAGATGAAGGAGCAGTTGTTCTCATTTTACAGCCAAGCAAACAGAGAACAAGCCACCCATAGTCATACTGTATATAAATACCACATGCCTCTCTGTGCTTGTTCAGGAATCCTATCGGGCTGTAAGCATGGCAGCACCGAGTGCAAATGTGGCCTATTTTATTACACTCTGAGTTAATGACAGTGTACTTTGGCAGTTAAATTCAAGTACAGTGAGACCAGGTGAGAGCAAAGTATATCTTCTGTTGCTCTGTCTGGGACGCAAGGTAATTAGCACAAATGGTGCCAGGTTTTTCTTGCTGAGCTGTGCTGGATTAAGGTTTGGGGTTTTTTGTGTTCTCTGCAGGTATGAAAATGAGCAGCCATTCAGAAAGGCAGTGGAAGATGAAATTAATTCGCTATATAAAGTGATTGATGATGCTAATTTAACTAAAATGGATCTGGAGAGTCAGATAGAGAGCATGAAAGAAGAACTAACTTTGCTGTCAAAGAATCATGAAGAAGTAAGTCCAGACTTGGGACACTGCAAAGCCAATGTGTGCCTGTTTCATCCGGTTGGTATCATACATTTAGTGCAAAACAAGCACTAAAAGCTCTGCCTGCCATGTCTGGGCCTGGGGATTCTTCTGAAACCCACTGTTATTTCTGTCTCTCTGTCAACTTCAAGCACTAACCTGTAAGGCACAATCAAATTGCTTACATTTAAGTCTTAAGTCTTTCATATCTGATAAACATGACATGGAAGAGATGTCACTTCTTGGTAGATGCCACACAGTGGTCACAGGGTTGCACGCATGTGGACATGTCAACAGTGAGGTCTGATCCTCAGCCAGAGATGTAAAGAGAAATGAGTGTGCAGGGAACAAGCTGTGGTTCTGCTGCACTAACACTGAGCATTAACCAGGTTCTGAACATGCCCTGCTTGGCTTAGCAAGCTGCTCAGTTCCCACAACAGAGTCTCTCCTGAACAACACACCCCAGAAGCAAGACAGAGGCACAGGCAGCTGGAAGGGAAGCCCATTATTACCCAGTTTTGCAATGCCTTCCCACTTACTTATTACATTCACCAGCACTATTTGCATGAAGGTGGTTTATTGCCTTCAGCAGGGGTTTCAGGATCAGACCCAAATCAGTCTTTTTACTGATGGGGGCTCAGATATGGAGCTACTACTAATACCACGTAAGGGACAACAAGCAATTGTGCTGATGCTTCAAAAGTAAAAGGCAGCTTGAATTGAGATGGTTCATGGAAGCAAGGCACTATCCTACCTTACATTCCTTCCAGGTTATTTCTCCAGCCACAAGATTTCAGCATCACTGGCAGGTATATGAAGACTTGGCTTGCCAAGATGAGGTTGCTTCATCCCCTCCCTGCTTTCACAGATCTAATCCCAAGGCTGGCATTTTGCAGAAAATAACCTATGGCCCTGTCACCGCTGCACAGCATGAGAAAAAGAGAAATTGTTTTAGATAAGAGGGAAAACAAAACATTGATAGAAATACACAAGATCCCCTTTAAGCCTCTGTCTATATTCCTGAAATCAGAAAAGCTGGCACTAAGGCTGTTCTCTGCCCATATATATGGCATTACAAGGACACCACCTTCCCAGCAGCTTCTCTTGCTCCACATTTAGCCAGTGAGGAGCCCTTGCAGGATAGAAGGATGCTGCTTTCCTTACTCATTTGGAGTATCTGAGCAATCTCAGCACAGACCTGGCTTTCCCATGGCAGCAGCACCAGGGGAAACTGCTCAAGAGAAGTCAAACAATAAAGGCTGGATGTAACTATTGCAATTACTCCAGCTGAGCTGTGGCACAGTGAAGTCCCAAGGACTTTCCTGAACTAATTCCAACTTTACATTCCTCCAATCCATGTCAAGTCCTTTTGAAGCTCTTGTGAACATAGAGTGAACACATTTTAATGCTTTCATTCTTACAGATTCCCGTCCATTTTTCCCCAGTATTGTCACTGTCAAGGGCCATTGCTTATAAACACAGTTACCAGATGTTCTTACACTACTTTTCGTTTTGCTCACACCAATAGCACATATAAATAGATTGATGTAAAAGGCTTGTGGTACAGATAGTTCAGATACATGTGCAAACCTCATTTATTTTTGTGTTCCTGAACACAAGGTACAACTGATATGCTACCTTTAAGTGTACAGTTCTAGACACAGTAATTCTCTACTGCTTATATGTTTTTGGAGCACTTATGTGTAAAGAAGACAGAATGCTGCCATGGAGAAGGAGAGTGCTCTTCATCTAACATGCACATGCATAAAAGCACACAGGTGGCTCACACAAGCTGCTTTGCACAACTTGTATATCCCAGTAGATGCCTGCCTATGTTGTTGCATGGTGCAGCAGAGAGGGAAGAGCAGGGGTTGATTTGCTGTAAGATGTTAGTTCCTTGACCCAATGTCCACACTGCAGCCTTCCTGGCAGTACAGTTGTGGTGGGTTTGGGCCCCAGGTTTGCATTGTGCATGTGTCAGGCTCTGACTGCTGGAGAAACTTGCCACTGTGAGGGAAGTGCCTTGATGCAGGGCTTCAGCCTCCTTCCACCAAAAAGAAAACCACTTTCAGCACCCCAGAGCTGAAGCAAGACTCCCCATGCAGATGCAAGGCAAATCCATATATGACAAAGAAACCCTCCAGTGCACTAAATCATTAATGCAGAGATTCCTTTCAGGGCCAAACTTAATGATTCTCTCTGTGGCACCAAACAAGCTCTTCCTCGAGCCTCTCTGAAGTCACCATTCAATCGTTCAGTTTGCTTTCTTTTATGTCTGTCATTTTTGTTCAAGGATGTGAAGGTATTATACAAGCAGCTTGCAGGATCTCAGCTGGAAGAACTGGATGTTCCCCTGGGAAGTGGCCTGGACGACATCCTGGAAAAAATCAGGATCCACTGGGAGAGAGACATTGAAAAGAATCGTGCTGAGACAGGAGCTCTGCTCCGTACCAAGGTAAGCACAACAACATCGCAGGGCTTAAGCAAGCACTAACCCTGTCTAATACTCTGAAGTAACTTTGAGGGTTGGGTCTTTGGTTTCTCCTTGAAACAAAAATGGTGGTAAAAATCTAAAGGATTTTGGTCCAAGTCCATGGGAATGTACACACAGTGTGTGGCTTTCTTGGGAGGCAGAGTTAAGCAGCAGTGGGAATGACCCTGCTGATACCACAGGTATCTGTGGGAGGCTTCAAGGGCTCTGAAATGTTGGCTGAGGAAAACAAACTTAGAATCATAGAACCATAGAATAGTTTGGGTTGGAAGGGACCTTCAAACCTTGTCTAGTCCAACACCCTGCAATGAGCAGGGACATCTTCAAGTAGATCAGGTGGCCCAAAACTTAATCAGTTGATATACAGCAAAACCACAGCCCCTCCTGTTCCATGGTACAGAGTGGGGGGAAGCGAAGGCAAACAGCAAGGAAAAAGCCAAAACTGTGTTTGCAAACATATATGCAAGCCCTGAGTAGGTGTTTCTTTTCAAAAGAAAGAATAAAACTGTGACAACAGTTGATACCAAAGGTGGCAGGGAATGCACAAGAAGCCAACTAGAGTTTATGTAGAGGTCCCATCAAGTTTGTGAGCGTGCCAGACTGTTACTAAGCAAAGTCTCCATCAGGTTATTCTGTGTGGGCCTGATTTTCAGACCAAAAGGAAGGCAGTGACATGGAAATAAGCTACATGAGCCTGCAGAGTGCCTCCATGCAAAGCACATGCAGCCTTGAGAAGCAAAACATCTTCAGAAGCCTCCTAAGCTTTTCCCAGAAAATCCGTTCCCGGTCCACTGACAGGTTTCAGCAGAAAGACCATACCTCTGACACACCAGATTCCTCAGTGTCCGCACTTCCCTCTCTGACCTGGTCTGCCTCCTCCTGTGCAAACAAAGCCCCACAAATTCTTTCTTCCTATTTCTTTCACACCTTACAATATCTGGTCTTTCAGAGATACCATTTGAGGGCAAAAGTGCCAGCTCATACTAGACTGATCACTGGATCCCACTCCCATGTCTTTGATATCTAACCTACCCCTGCTTGGCCATCCTAGTCTAAGCTCTTACTAGCTTAAGTTTTTCTTGCTTTGGTTTTCTGGCAAGATCAGTTGTGGTTCTGATCAGGTTGTGGCATGACATTCTAGAGGGTTTTGTCCCCAGGTATACCTCTCATTAAATCCAAATGATGATGTTGCATCTCATATCTCATATAGGTTTGTATCCCAGACAGATCTATTCAGATTATTACTATTTATAGTGGTAACAAGAGCTCAGCTTTTATCAACTTGTGGACTCAGGTCTTCTTATGTGGCCAGGTTGCACCATTTGGTTACCCACACTGTGAAAAACTTGCCCTTACTCTTGCAACATCAGCAGAGGGAGAGCAGTTCTCTTCTCTTTGCTCTTCAGTTCAGGTTAGATCTAAGGCAGAAGTTCTTCCCTGTGAGGGTGCTGAGGCACTGGCACAGGGTGCCCAGAGAAGCTGTGGCTGCCCCATCCCTGGCAGTGTTCAAGGCCAGGGTGGACACAAGAGCTTGAAGCAACCTGCTCTAGTGTGAGGTGTGCCTGCCTGTGGCAGGGGGGTGTGG